CTTCTAACTCTAGCAGTACCAACATAAGAGGGAATCTGGGCAGCCAGTTCTATGTGGCTAGAGGCTCCTTGGTAGTTTGGAAATGCACACAAGTGTCGGCTGGAAATGTTGGTTTGCAGGAACTGAGGCAACAGGTGCTAGAACCAGCTTGTGGGAAAGACCGCGATCTGCCCGTAGCTGAGGGCCATGCAAGGCCAGGAATGCACCTCTCTGGGAAAGGGGCTCTTAGGGTACTGCTCATTCTCAGCTGTATTAAAGAGGGTTGAAGGGGCTCCTGCCTGCGTAGCAGCTAGGCTGAAGGCTTTTTTCATTTCCCTTTCTTGCTATTCCAGCTCCTCTCGCCTATAAAAGACTGCGGGTGAATGAACACAATTCCCCATTATTCTGACCTCAATCCTCTACTTACAGTAGCATCTGAGTGAACTAGACTGTTGTTCAGTCACTGTTTGGGTGTGGGTGTGGTACAGGTGTGGTCCAACATAGTCCCAGCAGTTAGGATGCAACGTTCCCACCTCTCCAATTCCGTTCCCTACAACAATGTCATAGCCTACTTTCCTAAAATACCAGGCTGGCTTCACCGTTCAGTGGGATTATACTTAGCATGGTCCCAAGTCCCTCTAGGAGCTGGACTTGCTGGTTCCCAGCCTCCTCTATTTATCTTCAAAACCCTATTCAAGAGTCATCTCTAGAAACGCTTCTATGACACCTTCTTCTGAATAAACCAGGTACCTCTTGATAGCATTATTATTATTATTATTATTATTATTATTATTGCATGTATCACTGCATTGATTAAATGACATTCATAACTGCCTGGCACCTAGTGGGTGACCAATAAATGCTTGCTGAATTGAACTTGGCCTCTCCTTGATGGGTCCAGAAGCAGGAAGGTTGTGAAAATGCTGTTTTAGGAATTCCCATGGCATTCTAACAGCCTGGAATGAATAGGGCATTTAAAAAGAAATTATCCATTAGTACCATAACAAAATGTACAAATATCAACTCTCAGGCAACTAATCCAGGCAAAATTCTAAAGCTTGCCCGGGCAAGAGAAATGGTCCTAAAGAGAAAGAAAAGACTGAAGAACAAGCTTACATGATTGGAAAGAGTTGTTCCTATGTTTACATCTAAAATAAAAGACTAAAATGTACTTAGAAGTTGCCTTGGAGATGCCACCCAAACAGAGACCCATAAATGCTATCCACATTCAAACATTAAAGGAAATGACACCTCATCCACCTTACTAATGAAGGCAACATAAATGGATGAAGTCGATGCACAATCAACAAAACTGAGCTCTAGTCCTGGGTCACTCGCTAGGTGAGGGACTCAAAAAAGCAGCACTGTTAATCTTTTCAAAGTGTGCCTTTTACAAAACACTCATTAATATTGTAATAATGTATGGCAACAGATGGTGACTATAGTTAGCGCTGGGAGCACTGAGGAAAGTACAGAATTGTCAAATCACCATGTTATACACCTGAAACTAACATAACATTGTCAAGCATACTTCGAGGGTAAATAAATAAACACACACACACAGAGCACACAAAGTCTAAGCGCTCTTATTGATTAATACGGCATGAGCAAAGCTCAGTGGGACGTCTTTTTCTTCCTCACCTGGAAGACCAAAGCCCTTTGAATTCTAACTTCCGTGGCTCCGTGTAAAGCAACAGCATCTACATACAAGTATATTTCCCCATGGAAAAATGTAAATACATATTTACTTTGGTGTGCCTTTGACTCAGAAACACATAGATGAAGAACGTGGCTTGGAAATGTGGACCTCTTGTTAAGGATGCCTGTGCACTTTGCTAAGAAGGCGGCAATGCCTAGACATTTTGTATTCTTCTCTGTCTCAGCTCCCATCTCTAAAAATATACTGATGACATTTTTCTCTGACCTCTACCTACCGCAGGGAATAGAGAGAGGATAGGGGTGACAGCGCTCATTAAAGCCATGAACTTCTTGAAAGACAGAACACTCCTTTCATTGTGGCTATCATGTTAGCAACCCCGCCAGAGTTCTCAGGGTTTTAAAACTCTAGTTTTATTAGGGTTGAGGTTCCCTGTGACTAAGATGCTGTATGATGCCACCCAGCATACTAGTCCAACCAAAGCTGCTAATAATTGCAACTCATTTAGAAGGTCTCTGTGCCTCTCTTTGCTCCCAGCACTGTATCACCCACTTGAAAAATATTAGCTCAATTTGCTCTTTATCCTAAGGAGCAGTTGACGAGAAGTGCTCGTGCCTAGCAAGTTCCAGGAAAACAGTTTCAGACAAAATGCTGGGAGGATGAGGTAAGGCTGCATGTGGATCCCTACTCCTTCATTCTTAGCAGTGGCCCAGCGGTTAAAGCATGGACACTCCCTCTGTGCCCATCACAGCAACCACTTGCCCATCTTCTAGAACAAAGTTATGGTTTCCCAATTTGCATAACTACATCCCGATCTCTTCCAGAAAGGCTTGTCATATGTATTTATTTTTAGGCTGCTGCTAGCAGTTTCTCATTGGCCATGGGAATTTTTAACAATTGAAGTAAAAGTTACAGGAAAAAAAACCCCAACTCAATGGATTCAAGTTGACAATATATTCATTATTCAACTAAAAAAGAGAAATATGGGAGAGGAGCCTTTTGCCAGGAAGCAGGGCGAAATGATAGGGTAGGTCTCATTTTCTGTGTAGTCTTGTTTCATTTTACATTTGTTGAATGAGAGAGTGTCAATCATTTATTCAGTAAATATTTACTAAATGCCTACTTTGCCCCAAGAATTATGTGTGCCCTAAGGCTAGAAACATCCCCATTCTCAAAGGGTCCAATAAAGAAAAGGGAGGGAGAAGAAGGAGAAGCATTATATTAATTTCCCAAGCTGTGCCACGTGCTTTTCTTGTGGACTCTTCGTAACCACTGGTGAGAGAAGGTAGCTGAGACCCCCAGAAATTGTTCAGAGTCACACAGTTGAGTGGATTGGTATTTGTAATCGAATTGGGCTAATTCCAGAATCTCTTTTAAAATGTCTTCAGAAAGCAGAAAAAGAAGAAAAGAAATTATCCATTATCCCTACCGTCATGATTTAAAAGCAAAACAAAGCAAAACTGTTAATGCTTTAGAAAATTTCCTTCCATTTTTTTGGTGTATGTGTAGGTTAATTTTTGAATTTTTACAATATGTTTCACAGTTGTCATCAAAGTGTTATATGGCCTTTCATTGGAACTATGACACGATTGCCTGAAATACTCCATTATTTTTTATAGCACCAGGGAGAGAAATCATTGCCAGTCATATGATGCCACTGACTGACACATGTCCAGATCTCGGCAACGTTAAAATGCGAAGGGTAAAAATGGTGTGTTGTAGGATCAGTGACCTCTTCTGTATTCCAGAAAGCCCACACTCGTCTACCTCCTCCCTGCCGGTAAGGGTAGCTTCCTGGCATAGGGGACCTGGATCTCCCCCACATGAGAGAAGCCCCTCTCCTGGGTTGGGAGGGCTCTCTCGGCAGGAAGAGTGCTCTCTTTGTCTTTCTCACACATGCATTGCTTTGCATACAGTAGGAACTCAAGAAATATTTCTTGGTTGAATAAATACATAACTAAAGCTTAAGAAGAAGGTTACCAACAGAAGAGAGTAACCATTACCATAGGCCCAAACAGTGGTGGGAGCCCACATTTCGTCGGGGAATGAGGGTTTGTGTGATTGCACTCAGGAAGAGAGGAGAAGAGATGGGTGGAACTTGGGAGTTGGAGCCAGTGGCCTGGGCTTCTCAAGGTGTTTACCTTCCCATAGCCCACTACTCTGTCCACATGGACTCCTCTTTGGCTGTCCAGACCCCTACTCTGATGCCCTCACCCACACCTACCTCCACAGCACTGCCTGATTCTGCCATCTTGGGAAGTCACTCACACTTATTCACACTCAGCTGGCATACTGATTAAGATTTATTTGGGGACCCATTAACATCAAGTAATAACTCACGTGGAGCAAACTCAGGGGAAACAGCAAGAGGCAGACAGGGGAGAGTCCTATTTTTCAGAAGGAGCTGAAAATCTCCTTTAAATGGACAGGATCCCCTTTGCCCCCAGGAAGTAAAAGGCTACATATAGTCTGAGTCCATGCAATTTGACAACTCAACTCAACTTTCTATGGATGTTCACAAAGATACCTACCTGAGTCGGCAAAATCAGTGAAAATAAAGAAAAGAAATTCAGCCAAACTTAGTTCTCCATGGATGTTCTGGGTTCAACGCCAGATCTTCACATTTTGAACACCATCATGATTTCTCTGGCCTTCCTTTCCTCCTTTTCTTTCTCTCTGCACTTACCAAGTACCTTAGCATGTAGAGAACTGTGCTAAGTTCTCCAAGAAAAAGAACAACGGGTCAGAAAATTCTGACCTCAGAATGAAGCTTACACATTAATAGAAAGGCAAGTGTTCCTCACAAAGGAGTAACTTAACAAGGTAGAGAGAGAGTGAGAGTGCTATCTGAGAGACACAGGGGACATGCAGTCAGAGACTAGAGCCAGGAGAGATGCAATCCAGCTAGGACACCAGGGAAGGCTCCAGAGAGGAGGTGTCATTTCACCTGGGCCTTGAAGGATGGAGAGGTTCTGGGAATAGGGGCCCTGGGGAGGGGGAGGTATGCCTGGGCAAAAACCCTCCTGTTGCTCCCTTTTAGGTGACTGTTTATTATTTAGGAGACAAGATGCTGTTGTGAGGGCCTCTCTATGAGGTGTTAAATCACTGGTCAGTAAATGGATCATCATCTTGCGCTGACCATTCCAGGGCGTCATGAGTTATACCAGCTTAGGGCCAACACCAGGAAAATGCTATGAGATTTCATGCTGATGAGGTGTGACATCTTAGAGCAACGTCCTAAAAGCCAAAGCCTGGCGTGTGACCGAACGAGAGGGACCCAGCGCCGGTCATGAAGGCCCTTGTCTGACAGCAACAACACAGTATCACTTTCCAAGACTCAAGGGGTGGTCGGCTCCCCACTTACCATGGACGTGGATCCCATTTGGTTGAAAGGAAGAGTTTGTTTCGGGCTGGTAAGACTTCAGGTGTGGCCCACCCACTGGCTGCTGGGTGTGGGGAGGCTGCGTTCTCGGCATTACTGAAGAAGGAGCTGGAACTCTCCGGGGGCTGATGTGGTGAGGAGACGGGGCAGAAGGTGCAAACCTGGGAAGACGAGCATGAAAGGAAGCGTGAAGGACATGAAAAAGCGGGAGCAGACACAAACTCTTCAAAGCCAAATTCCGATTTCCACACTGGCTGGATAAGAGCATACAAAAAGCCCTCAAAAGAAATTGGTGAACACCTTTTCTCCCATTTTTAACCACTGACTTCTCAGCTGAGATACTGAGGGGATAAAAGAAGTCAACAAAGGGAAAATGTAGTCACAGTTTGGGTTTGTCAAGCCTCTTAAAATGCATTTCAAATACTCTGGGTTTGGTGAAATTCAAAGCACATCTTTTGCCAGTCCCCCTTTTCTGCTAATTTTTAAATTCGTCTGCATTTTAGGGGAAATTTGATCCTTATGTTTCTGATTCATTTACACTTAGCTCATAAACATTTTGTTCTGAGAGACATATCTGAGGTCCAAGAAGTGTTACAAGTCTTTATTATAAGCTTCTCTCATCCTGTTCTCTTTAAACAATACATTTTCTTTTGCCAAGAATGAGTGAATTTAAACCTCAAAGATCAAGTGTGGTTTGAGACCCAGAACCTATCTGCATGGGTTCTGTGCTCGGCAAAGAATGCTTACTGCTCAGGGCACAACCATAACGCCATGTGGGACATTTCTGCAGTCACATGTGCTAATCACAGTGAAGCCATTGCTAGTTTCTGAGGAGGGACAAATACAAGGTGACCTGGTCAACGAATCTGAGACACAAGCCTGACAACTGTCCACCAGTCTTCTAATCGTAAGGGGACATTGGCAGGGTCCAACTCCCTGGGTTTGAAGCGACTTTCAAGGTGCACTTGGCAGAGCAGTGTTCAAGTTTACCAGCGTCCACAGACCACCAAAGTGACCCTCGATGCCAGGTCACTAGGGGGCTGGCACAGGGAACCCATCAGTGCTGTGAGATGAAGTGACAAAGTAACTGGGGAGCAAAGTGTATCAGCAATGAATTGTTTCATGTCCCCAGAAAGGCCCATGATGTTGAAAGCTTTCAGTTGGCTATTCCTTATGCCGAGTGAAAAGACAGGCTTTGTTGGACGCTAACATGGAGCTGTGGCCGGCGGCATCTGTGGCTTACTGCACAAGAACGAGTCCCCTCCCTTTGCTGGGCTTTTGTGTAGGGCCATAGAGGGTAAGAAGGGAAACTGAACCAGTCAAGTTTATAAAGCAATTTGCACCGTTCTGAATCAGAATATTTAATAGGGCAGAGCTTCTACACTTGTGTTGTGCCAGGAAGGAACCATGGGATGAAAAAAAAAAAGTATGGAATTTACACCCTAGATGATTCCTAAATGCATTCTGTCCTACGAGGGCTGTGGAGGAAGGGGATGCGGGAACTGAGGAGGAGGAGGACGTGGGGAAGAGAAGTCTCCAGAGGAGGCCAAAACAAACTGGCTGCGTTAGGATGCCTATTTTCACTTTGCTGCAGGAGAACAGTAACTGAGTACCCTGGGCCAGGTCAAAATATATTTTCCAAGTGTATCATCTTAATTGGAATTTGCCTGGAAGATGAGCTGAATGGCCTTGAGAGAACACATCGCAGATGAACCCTGTCACTGCCCTGAGGACATCGAGTAAAAACCGTGCCAGGATTCCTCATATGGAGGCTATTTTCTCGGGGAACACGTCCTTAATGCGTCTGGCAACCCTCTTGGAGGTCACGGGAGGGAGCTGAGGAATTGTGGGATTGCAGGCTTTAGGGCTCAAAGGAGGCCACACGACCACCCCTGCCCCCGGGGCCCTGGGGGCAGGAGACCCCCGGGGAGAGTCGGGGGGGTCCTGGAATTGGAAGACAACCTTTGTCACTGGCACTGCAAGCAGCAAGATCCGGTGACTTGCTTCCTGACTGTATTTTTTCATCCGGGAGTAAAAGACGCAGCGCACTCTCGATGGTTTTCCGGTCTTTTCTCTGGTACTTCTGCCACTCTTCCTTTCCGTTGAGGGCTGAGAGGGCCGGAGGTGTGTGGATGGGGCAAGTCACAGTATGTGTAAATCTGACCTGATATTGTCGGCTTGATGGAGGAGAGGGATTCCATTTCACAATCCCCTGCCCCCCCCGCCCCGGGCCAGTGAGTCTGCCTCAGAAACAAGAGTCTGATGAACAAAGATAGAAAAGGTAGATGGGAGGGCGCCTGGGTGGCTCAGATGGTTAAGCGTCTGCCTTCGGCTCGGGTCGTGATCCCAGAGTCCTGGGATCGAGTCCCGCATCGGGCTCCCTGCTACGCGGGAAGTCTGCTTCTCCCTCTGCCTCTCTCTCTCTCTGTCTCTGTCTCTCATGAATAAATAAATAAAATCTTTAAAAAAAAAAAAGAAGAAGAAAAGGTAGACAGGGAGGGGGAAGGAGACAAAGACCAGCAGCAATATAAAATCTTATCTCTGTAGTTTGGGGTGATCTGGTTATCGAGTGAACTATGATTATCAGCTATAAAGAAGGGAACATTTCAACTAGCTAAAAGGACAGAATCCATTTAGGAGTCATCTAGAATGTAAATTCCATACAAGAGACTCTACACCTATATATGGATTATATAGCTACATAAAATTATTTATCTATGTATCTATCTAGAGAGTATATAATTACATGGTAGTTATAAATCATTCTTGTCTATTCACTCATGCAAATTCCAAACCCTGGCCATGCCCTCTTGGCTACCACATATTACATAACATAGTAACAGTGAGCAAAGGGAAAAAATGTGGTGGTATCACATCAAGGTGTTAGCAATGATTATTTCAGAGACCTGGGCTGGGGGAGTAAAATATACCTACTGATCCTTCGACTGACTCCACATTTTGCTTTTTGCTAATTCAGACTCGATTTTTCTCCATGTTATTCAAGTAAGTAAGATTATATGGTATGATGTTAATGCAATTTAAAAATATAGTGTGTCACTTCATATAAAGTATTAATAAAAACTTAAAAGTAAACTATTCTAGGTGAGATAAATGTACACCTAAAGAAGTCCTTGATTTGGAAAGGAAAGGACTGATACAAAAATGTTAACTTTTACACATATAGAGAAAAGATGAGAAGTGACAAGATGTGATTACAATTATCCACATGATTGCTAGGAACGAGGAAATAAAGAAGAATTCAGCACTAAAAAGCCCAGCATAAGAAATGAGTGTATAAATGTGATTGATTTTCAAATACAGTACTTAGATTTAATTTTGTTACTGCTGAAACACGGTACATAGTATTTTATGGTAAAATCTCTCACACTCTTCTACTAATTTAAATTTAACTTCTATAAAGCTGCTTCCATGTTAACCCACTCATAGTAGAGTAGAATTAGCAAATTAAAATCCGAGGTGGGGGGTAGGAGAGGAGTGCAGAAGTAGGGGCGTCCCTCTGTTAGAGGGAAGGCCCTGAGAGTATCCAGAAGTCACTGACCACTCGTAACAAGACCGATGCCAGAAACGTTTTAGAAAAAGCCAAAAGGACTTGAGAAACTTGAGTGGTTTGAGGCCATGCACTCCAGAAGCAAGCAAAGAACCAAGAACACACACACTTAAGACAGAAGCTCATGAAGCCAAACATAAAATGTTCTTACTGTTACTGAGGGTAGGGTGTGGGGCCTTAGAACTCCATTTTCTTAGTGCCCTCACTGATTTTCCAACCTTGCTTTTTTAACACGCACACATGCCAAAATGAATATGGTCTGAATATGCCGTCCAAAACAGAGGTTTTTTTTAAAATCCAAAGATAGTGAATTAAAAATTTTTGATGTTAAAATAAACAATTTTGGTGCTGAGTCAAAGTTGCAGTGATTTACAATTTTTCTCCCATGGAATATCTCATCCCCCATTATGTCAGGACAAGATGACATCACTCTGATTCACTCTGAGTTACAGCAGTGTCCAAGAGCCAGAAGACAGAACGTCTGAAATCTTTCTAGGTCCAACTCAGTCCCCCAGCTGCTGATCTGCAGTTCACATTTCACAGATTTCATTCAACATAGCTTTTGTTAATATAAATATGCACACAACAGACTAGAAATTAAAAAAAAAAAAAAAAATCACTGCTTCCAGAAACACTTCACACAAAAGCAAAGCAGAGAACTGAGTCAACCATTAGTACTCTTTTAGTGGAGGAGTTTACATATAACCTCAGTGTGAGCCATTCCATGGTTCAGTGGTTTTTACCCCTCCCCACACCTCCTGCCAGAAAACCCAAAAAACACAAAAACAAAACAAAAACAAAATGGAGGGGGGGGACAGATTTTAAAGGGCTCATAAAAACATCTTCTGGAAAAAAATAAACCTAAAAAGGCTTCTGTAAACATATATCTATACACACCCTAGAAAATGCCTATTATTTGGGGGGATTTAGTCCGTTAAGCTCCTTCCCCTCTGTCAACCCGCTTCCACCCTCGGCTCACACTGAGCTTTCCAACCTTGCAGTGAAGTGGGCCAGAAGCAAAGAGGTCATCTTTCCTGTAAATGAAGTACTCAGAAACAATCTTAGGTTGTTTCACAGAACGGTAGATCCCAACTGAGACACACAGAACTGATGAGGTTCATATACAGAAACTTTGCAAATGGCAGGAGGAGATGGATATCACTGAAGACTCACTGGGCTTAGAGTCTGGCTCTGTCCTTGCTAGCTGGCTAATCCTGAACAAATTCCCTGACTTCTCCCAGTCTCAATTTCAAGTATAAAATAAAGAGAATCTCAGCGCTTACTGGGGATCATAAAATCTGAGGTAACATACTCATTTATTCATTCAGGAGATAGTTATTGGCACTGACCCAGTGTGTGGCCCTATTCTAATCACCAGGGACAGAGCAACACATGATAAATATCCCCGCTTCTGTGGAACTTCTATTTTGGGGAGGGGAGGAAGGCAATGAACAAAGTTAAGTAAGGAAACTATATATTGTACTGAGGAAATGAATACTATGGAGAAAAATTAAGAATGGAAGGTGAGGGCTGGGGGTGGATTATGAACCATTTTAAATTGGGAAGTCAGAAATCTCACAGTACTTTAGACAA